TCTCTCTCTCTCTCTCTCTCTCTCTCTCTCTCTCTCTCTCTCTCTCTTTCCTGTAATGTAAGTTACAGATCTCAGAGCAGTATCTGGGCTCCTTTGGAACAAGTGGAGCCCGTGCTGACTGGCCCCTGGGGTAGGGCACCCCCACAACTCCTCCCCCTCGCACCAGACGCTCCCTGGTGTCACTCAACACTACATTGCATCTGTGTGTGGAGAGGTGCTCAAGCACAGGAAGGCTTCTTCCACCTCCAAAAGCGACCTCACCAGCACATTGCCTGAAAGGGTCTGGGCATGGACCTCACCACAGTGACGCTGTATCCTCTGTGAGTGACTGCGACACTGTCCTTGGTGAGCGCTGGGACAAGGCAAGAGGGTCCTTCAGCTCCCAGGTCACCTTTCCATCCACTGATGGATCCCACGCTTGAGTTGCCGCCATGACTGTGGAAGGCGTAGCGTCAGAGTTGCTCTCCTCATGCACCAGTAGAAGCTGCATGCATGTGCTAAGCATCGCTGTCACCAGAGCTTGGCCTCTTGTCTCCTCCTGTTTCGTGATAGGCCACGTTACCCACTTTGGATGCCTTAATTTAATTTCTTTTCCAAGTTTCAACCTTTTTCTGTATTTAAGGAAAAAGTACAAGTCTTCAACTCTTAGGACGCAAACTTGTATTGTGGAAGAAAAATTGTGCACATGGTAAATCAGTGTCAGCCTATTTTGATGGTGTACCACAGTGTTTTTAATGGATTTTCATAGAAACAGTACAGCTGGTGTGGGGGCCATCCCGTCTGCCTGGTCCCATCCAGCCTCGTACTGGCTCTGTACCAGCCTGACCATGCAGTGTCTGCTCTGCTTGACTTTGCCAGCTACCCTGCCTGTGTTTTTATTTCTGGTAAAGACATACATGTTTTTACATTTTCACACTCAAGATTCAAAACTTGTAGCAAATATAAAGAAAACTAAGGTATACTGTAGATATATTTTAAATATTTAAATGTGATCCTCAAACACACAACTATGTATGGCAATATTTCAGTATTGGGTCAAGGAACTTGGGAGAAGCCATCCGGGGGCACTGGCCTTGACTTTCACCTTTCAAGTGCGGCTTCCGGGGTTCCTGCAGGACACCCAGATAGGTCTGACTTGTGCCACACAGGGCCGCAGTGACCAGTGCAAGGTGAAACGGCACACAGGCTTGTCTGAGCCTTGCCACACCGTGTCCTGGTGGAGCTGGGTCCAATGCTGAGCCACAGCCCCAGTGTTTCAGTGGAAGAGAGAGGAGGGGCTTCCATAGCTGAGCTCGCGCCCCGCGCTGCTGCCACTGTGGACACCAGCAATGCTCAGGCCCTCCTGGGGCCTGCTGCGTCCTGGGGACACAGCCCTGCAGAGGGCCAGCACAGTGGGCTGGCTTTTTTTTTTTTTTTTTAAAGTAAGATTAAAAAATGAAAAATATATAAA